TCTAATTTTCAGTGGTGTTGGTCCATATGACATTGCTCTGCTTAAACTTGCATCTCCATTAAAGTTAACGAAAGAAATACAAGCCATCAAATTACCACCGCCAGAAAGTGAAGCAACTGGAGAAGCATGGCTTTGTGGATGGGGCTCCACTTCGACTGGCCGTTATCCAATAATGCCAAATAAACTTCAGCATGTTAAGATGGAGTACCTCGATCATATTACTTGCCATGAAGCCATTGAACGTTTGATAGGATCTTCTCCCGTTCATGAAACCAATATCTGCACTGGGCCACTATACGATCAAATCTCGGCATGCAGTGTAAGTGATATACAGATGTTCAATAAATTTTAGTATATGAGCTTCAGTAGTTTTGTCATTGTTTATTGATGTAACAATTTAATACATATATATTGAGTTTTTAATACACTTTTAGGGAGACTCCGGTGGCCCACTAATTTCACGTAATGGACAAAAACCAGTTCTTATTGGAATTGTATCTTGGGGTATTATTCCATGCGGTAGTGAAGGAGCGCCAAGCGTATATACCAAAGTATCCAGTTTCATTGAATGGATTGACGAGAAAATCAATAATTATTAATATATTAATGACAACGATATTGACGACGTATCAACGCATACTGAATAATGCATTATATATTATTAATTATTATATATTATGTATTATATATTATTTAACGTAAAATACAATAAATATGCAGCATATATAACAATAACGTTTTATATTCCTTTCCTATTTAAAAAGTAAAAATTAATTAACAGTAACTTGATTGACTGAACAAAACGCTTATGGCAAAATTTATTGCTGTTTATGTTTTTATGTTATTTAACATAATCACATTATTATTCTTAAAAATATACGTATATCTATTTTAATAACACTAATTTGTTCATCTGCAATACATATTTTAATACACAAATCATATAGTTAAAAGTTAACATATATTATACAATGTGTTTTATTTTAAGTAATACAGTCGATTATATATGTTAAAAAAAGGAATTTTCGAGAAAAAGTTTCAGACAAACAACAATTGCATGATGTAAAAGAGAATAAATAATAGTAAAATCGATTTTAGATAACAATAATACATCATTATCTATTAATATATGATCCTATCGTAATAGGACTTGCAGTTTAACTAATTAAAATTAAAAGAATGTTTCATGATTTATTATTTACATTTAATTATTAATTAGTTTATAATGATATATTTTATTTAGAATCTGATTAAATAATATGAAAACAAATAACAAATAAAAAAATTAATTAAATTTTTAATAATATTGTTTATTACCGTTTTTTATTTACCTTACAATTTAATATTTATAACAATTAATGTACATAAAAAGACGAAAAAGTGTGTAAAATTTTTTTTATCGTAAAAGTATTGTGATCAATTCTCATAGATAATAATGGCTTATCAGCACATTATCACTGATATCGAATGTACTCGACAAACGGGTATAAAATGCGATTTATTCATAGGATCATCAAACATCAAGATGCATTTCAAAGCTATCGTGTTCTTTGTTTTTTTAGTTATGGCGATCGCTGGTAAGTCAATTTTCTCGATTTATGTATACA